TCAGTCCTTCACTGTCTATGTACTTCTTGAATTCCTGCACATATTTTTCAGCTGCTTTGTGGTCCGAACTGGCAGCCTCACCATGCCTTATCACACTATGTATGCCACTACGCTTCTTAAATCTCTCAAACCAACCTTTGCTGGCCTTAAATTCACTCACATCATCACTAGTTGCAGGCATTTTTTTAATTAAATCCTCATGCAACTTCCTAGCCTTTTCGCTCATGATCGCTTGAGAGATGCTATCTCCTGCTAGCTGTTTTTCATTTATCCACACCAATAAGAGTCTCTCAACATCTTCCATCACTTGCGATCTCTGTTTCGAAAACAAAAGTTAAACCTTTGGCAAGAACAGCTTCCTCGATTGCCTTTCTGTTGCCCACAATAGTAGAGATGGTTGATTTGGGTTTCTTGTACAACCTGACCAGGTCGGCGACACGCACTCCACTTTCATACTTATCAATGATCTCTTTCTTCATCTCTATAGGAATTCTCACCCTTATTCCTGTAGGGTTGGCACTAGAAGCTTTCTTGGGGCCCATGGTCACTTATTTTCCAGATAAAGCACCGAAAACACTGTAATAATATGAAATATTCCGATTGTATGCTTGGATGTTACCGTGGAGGCTGGCTGGTAAACAATGCCACCGGCGGAACATGTGAGGCTGGCTGAGGGCACACATTGGACGCGTCTCGGACAAAGAGCGGTGAGCGGGTTTTTGGGCGGTATGCGAGGCAAAATTTTTGCGATCAAAGCGAGCGGTATGCGGATTGTATGGTATGCGATGCGTACGGTATGCGGGGTCCACTGTATAAATAATGTAAACCGATCCATGACTGCATACTAGAATGGCTATTCGGACAGGTATTGGACGGTGACATCATGTGTTTACTCTTGAACACAGCAAAGAATCAAACATTTCTGCTACTGCTAATAATAATAATAATAATAATAATAATAATAATATTATAATAATATAATAATAAATATAATAATAATAATAATAAAAATATAATAATAATAATAATATAATAATAATAATAATAATAAATAATATTTTTTTTTTTTTTTTTTTTTTCAACAAGTCGGCCGTCTCCCACCGAGGCAGGTGACCCAAAAAAGAAAGAAAACAATTTTTTTCTTCTTATTCTTTTTAGTAATCTTTACAGGAAAAGGGTTACTAGCCCATGTTCCCGGCATTTTAGTTGACTTTTACAACACGCATGGCTTACGAAGGAAAGATTCTTATTCCACTTCCCATGGATATAAAAGGGAAAAATAATAAGACCAAGAACTATTAAGATAAAATCAAAGAAAACTCAGATGAGTGTGTATAAATAAATGTGTACATGTATGTGTAGTGTGACCTAAGTGTAAGTAGAAGTAGCAAGACATGCCTGTAATCTTGCATATTTATGAGACAGACAAAAGACATCAGCAATCCTACCATCATGTAAAACAATTACAGGCTTTCGTTTTACACTCACTTGGCAGGACGGTAGTACCTCCCTGGATGGTTGCTGTCTACCAACCTACTACCTACAATAATAATAATATAATAATAATAATAATAATAATAATATAATAATAATAATAATAATAATAATAAATACGATAGAATTGAAGAAGGAAATTGTACAAAAATACGAGGGTTGAAGCAGTGGTGGAGGAAGTGGTTGACGCAGCCTCAGTGCGGCTTTGTTTATGCTGGAGTGAGTATTAGTCTCCGTGCTCTTCCAAACATTTCACAATAATTCATTGTATTTGGTGCTTGCTTGTAGATTGAGTGTGACTGGAGTGGTTGAGGCAGTGGTAGAGGCAGTGATAGAGACAGTTATAGAGGCAGTGGTAGAGGCACTGCCTCTATAACTGCCTCTACCACTGCCTCTATCACTGCCTCTACCACTGCCTCTATCACAGCCTCTACCACTGCCTCTACCACTGCCTCTATCACTGCCTCTATAACTGCCTCTATCACTGCCTCTATAACTGCCTCTACCACTGCCTCTATCACAGCCTCTACCACTGCCTCTATCACTGCCTCTACCACTGCCTCTATCACAGCCTCTACCACTGCCTCTATCACTGCCTCTACCACTGCCTCTATAACTGCCTCTATCACTGCCTCTACCACTGCCTCTATCACTGCCTCTACCACTGCCTCTATAACTGCCTCTACCACTGCCTCTTTAACTGCCTCTACCACTGCCTCTACCACTGCCTCTATCACTGCCTTTACCACTGCCTCTATAACTGTCTCTACCACTGCCTCAACCACTCCAGTCACACTCAATCTACAAGCACCAAATACAATGAATTATTGTGAAATGTTTGGAAGAGCATGGAGACTAATACTCACTCCAGCATAAACAAAGCCACACTGACGATGCGTCAACCACTTCCTCCACCAATCTGCTTCAGCCTCGTATTTTTTTACAATTTCCTTCTTCAATTCTATCGTATTTATTATTATTATTATTTATTATTTATTATTATTATTATTATTATTAATTATTATTATTATTTTTATATTTTTTATTTATTTTTATTTATTATTATTATTATTATTATTTTTTATTAGCAGTAGCACAAATGTTTGATTCTTTGCTGTGTTCAAGAGTAAACACATGATGTCACCTTCCAATACCTGTCTGAATAGCCATTCTAATATGCAGTCATGGATGGGTTTACATTATTTATACTGTAGTTTAATAGCAAATAATGAACAAACAAAACACTCACCACACAGTGGTGGGAGGGCTGGCTGCCAGTTGCAGGGGTCGGAGGGAGGGTAGTAAGGACTCCTGGCGGTAAACTTAAATATGATTTGGAGGCTGGAAATTTGGCGGTTGGGAATTCGCGAATGTGTGAAGCCCGCGAAAGTTGAAAACGTGAATGTTGAGGGAAACCTGTATATCAATAGAGGGGTAAACCCAAACAGTTATCAACTTCATGCAGAAAGAACTAAGCAGGTTAAACCCAACTAAGAGCACCTGCCCAGTTAACATCCCATCTGTGTTCCTAAAAGATGGTGCCTCTGAATTGGCAATCCCCATTGCTCACATAATAAATTTGCCCATAACCACAAATACCATACCAGAAGGGTTTAAGGAGGCCAGAGTTACTCCTAAATTCAAGAAAAATAGTAAGTCTGATGTCAGCAACTATAGGCCTGTTAGTATACTCAGTGTAATATTCAAAATTCTAGAAAGGGCAGTGTACTGTCAAGTAGTAAAGTAACTTAATGACAACAACATTCTTCATAATTACCAATCAGGCTTTAGGAGCTCTTACTCAACCGACACCTCCGTAATTAATCTAATGGATTATATAAGAACTGAAATGTCGATAGGGAACCTCATAGGAATGGTAACCTTAGACTTGCAAAAGCTCTTCAATACTGTCAACCACAATATATGTATTATGTAAGAAACTTCAAACTATCGGCATACGTTCCATAAGCTGGTTTACGTCCTACCTTAACAACAGGAAACAAATTGTCAAAATCAACAAAACAGAATCAAAACCCCTGCCGATAGCATGTGGAGTTTCCCCGAGGTAGTATTCTGGGTCCCTTATTATTTTTGTGTTATGTAAATGATATGCCCATCAGTGTCAAGTGCAAACTCCTACTGTATGCGGATCTCGATGCTCTGTTAGTGTTAGGTAAAGACCCACAAGATATAGCTAATGTATTCACACTAGAACTGGAGTCCTGCAGCAAATGGTTAGTAGACAACAAACTATCATTACACCTCAGGAAAACGTAAACCATACTCTTTGGCAAAAACATAAACTGAGAATGGTAAATAATTTTAATGTCCAGTGTAATAGGAAACTCATCACTTCAGTTTCCTCAGTAAAATACCTGGGAATCCCCTTTGACCCATGCATGTCAGGAGAACTGATAGGGAACAGTGTAGTAAAGAAAGCGAATGCTAGACTGAAGTTCCTCTACAGACTAGCACAGTGTCTACCTACTGAGGCTCGCAGGACTCTATGTCTATCCCGTATACAGTGTCATATGGGCTATACTTGCTCATCATGGTACTCTGCCTTGACAAAAAAATTGAAAGATAAACTGCAAATAACCCAGACTAAAATGGTAAGATTCATCCTGGACCTGGCTCCAAGAGAACATGTAGGCCAGGTTGAATTACAACAATTGGATATGCTGAATATTGAAAACAGAGTAAAACAACAACTGAAGTTAAATCAAGTTTATAAAATTGCTCACAGTGTCCAGAATATCTTGCTGCTAATTTTGTCAAGGCTGGGAACCGAAGCAACCATAGTACTAGGGGAAGAGAGCACAACTTTGTAGTACCCACAGTTAGTGGCCAGGCTTCAAACACCTTTTATTGTACAGCAATAAAGGAATGGAACAGATTGCCTGCACATGTCAAAGCCAGTCATAGCATGAACCAGTTCAAGAAGAGTGCCAAAAGGTACCTAATGAATGTAACAACATAAAGGGAAGAGAATTATTTTTTATTTTATTAGCTAACACACATGTTAATGTAAATAGCTCTATTTACCTTATTCCTAGTAAATCTCCCTTGTAGTATAATAATAAGATATCTCCTACATTGTATAATAATAAGGTATTAAAAGGACCCCAATGGAAATAAGTCACTCCGACTATTTCGGGTTATCCTAGGTTCTTTATACATATGCTGCTATGTATGATAATCTATGTAACTGTATTTGTGTATACCTGAATAAACTTACTTACTTACCTACTTACTTTTCACTAAAAGAGGACCCCAGCAGGGGGTCCAGTTATACATCAATTAATTTTCCAAGTTTCTGCCTCTATGTGAGTTATTATTGAGCATGCACATGTATCTAATTGTACATGTGTCTACTTCATCAACTTGTCGGTATTGTATACCATTAATATTAATATATAAAACACAATTCAACTTTATTTCTTTTCTGCAGTACACAAAATCTCATTTACATGTAATAAAATACTGTTAAGCACAAAAACAAGCCACTAGCATGTGGTCTGTTTTTGGCTGAAATAAAACCAATTCACACAACCTGAGTCAGTAACTAGCTCCTGCAGGCCATAGTAACTGATGGCGATGGTAGTAGATGATGGTAGGTAATGGTGGTAGGTGACTGTGTTGTACTGCTTGCTACATGTCTCCCTTCTGCATACAGCTACATGTCAACCTTCTCCAATACAGCTACATGTTGCCCTTTTCCATACAGCTACATGTCAACCTTCTTCATACAGCTACATGTCAACCTTCTCCAATACAGCTACATGTCAACCTTCTCCAATACAGCTACACATCAGCCTTCTCCATACAGCTACATGTCAACCTTCTCCAATGTAGCTACATGTCACCCTTCTCCATACAGCTACATGTCAACCTTCTCCAATACAGCTACATGTCAACCTTCTTCATACAGCTACATGTCAACCTTTTCCAATACAGCTACATGTCAACCTTCTTCATACAGCTACATGTCAACCTTCTTCATATAGCTACATTTCAACCTTCTCCAATACAGCTACATGTCAACCTTCTCCAATACAGCTACATGTCAACCTTCTCCATACAGCTACATGTCAACCTTCTCCAATACAGCTACATGTCAACCTTCTCCATACAGCTACATGTCAACCTTCTCCAATGTCAACTTTCTTCATACAACTACATGTCAACCTTCTTCATACAGCTACATGTCGCCCTTCTCCATACAACTACATGTCAACCTTCTTCATACAGCTACATGTCGCCCTTCTCCATACAACTACATGTCAACCTTCTTCATACAGCTACATGTCAACCTTCTCCAGTACAGCTACATGTCAACCTTCTTTATACAGCTACATATCAACCTTCTTCATACGGCTGCATATCAACCTTCTTCATACAGCTACATGTCAACATTCTTCATACAGCTACATGTCAATGTTCTTCATACAGCTACATGTCAACCTTCTTCATACAGCTACATGTCAACGTTCTTCATACAGCTACATGTCAACCTTCTTCATACAGCTACATGTCAACCTTCTTCATACAGCTACATGTCAACCTTCTTCATACAGCTCCAGATGAAAGAAGCTATAAAAATCATAATGTTGGGTAAGAAAAACTATTATTTTCAAAGAATTAAGAAGAACTTTTTTTTTTTTAACTTACTGGGAGGTGTTATAAACACAGCCCTGTTTTCCCCATATGTTATTCATCCCATAAGTCGCTAAAATCATTAGTAGCATCACTTTAGGAGCATAACCCAAGAATTATGGACGTCTACTGTATGTTAAAGTGTAATATTGGTCAGGAGTTTTCTCATCTTTTTAAATTCTCTTATTAATTGTTTCTCCACTGCCTTTTTTCTCTCCTAAACTTCTGCTTTTCAAAATGTTATTTATATTTTAGACATAAAACAAGGCATAAAACAAGAATTTTAAAGCAGGAGAAGTAGTCAGCATATTTTTAGGAGGTAAATAGGTAATAAATATATGAATTTTATGTATAATGTAATGTATTAATGAATTATTGCTACACTAATGTTAATAAAAGTATGTAATCTCTAGGTACTTAAAGGATTATGATTACTACGAGAGGTGCTTGACGGAGCGACAAAGAGAGGAGAACCCCATAAAGCCACTCAAGCGATCACGTAACACTGCCGGATGTCTCTGCTTCACGTCCAAGAGCCGTAGGAATGCTGAGAAACAAAACTATCGCACAATGTAATTAAGCGTTCCATTCTTTTACCAAAGGTTTGCTTCTGGCATCCTAATGTCCCAATCCTTGCGTCCATAAACAAGGTGTGATCATTGATTGCAATCTTTCTACATTTCATTCAGTATATCAGAAAATTATTCTGTTATATTTACGTAATAGCTCTGTAGAATTTGTAGTAAAACTTAATGTTTATAGAAAATACAATTGTATCGCGACATTGTAAACTCGTATCTCTGATCACATCTGTTTCATTGTCATATTTGTTAAATCATTGTTTAGTTGTCATTGTGTTACCACATGCTCAAGATTTTACCTGTTTAAAGATCACCATATACTATAGACTAGGAGAAAACCTGCATCTTGAAATATGTTGTGCAATTACTTATTTTATTTTTCTTACTTTAGACACACACTATGCACTCTTGATTTGCATAATAAAGTATTTTTTTCATAGAAGCAAATATTTATTTTTATTACTATAGTTTAGCCCATATGCTTTAGTGTGCATCCTTTGTGAGATTTTATTAATTTTGTTGAAGGACCTGGGACACCTTAAACGTGTTGCGGGCTTCTCTGAACCGGGTCAGAAAGTGGACATCTGCCGGGTCACGAAATTGATATGCAAGATATGCACAGACTTCTGCCAGCATTCTTTCAGCTTCCCAATTTTGTTATGAGAAGTGCTGCAAAATTCTTGAGCAACCACTGAGCAACGACGACAACAAATTATTTAAGTTAAACACTTCACTAATTATGCAGTAAAATTTGAGTGCATTTTAAGATTTTCCGTGCATTACTGAGTTATTTTTTACAGTGTTTGTACAGATAAACAAATATGCATGTAGATGCTTTATATGGATTTTGTGTATTATATATATATATATATATATATATATATATATATATATATATATATATATATATATATATATATATATATATTTAAATATATATTATATATATATACGTATTATATATACACATGTATATATAATGATGTGCTTTTTTAGGCAGAGCTCGTGATTTTGACAATGAAGATTTTACCAAATGAGCCAAGTATAAATTCATTGTTGCAATAAAAGTGGAAATCAGTGTGAACATTATGATAAATAATATTAACAAACATGGGATAAATCTGGCAAGATCAAGGTAAATTGTTATGATAATTTTTAACAAGGTGAATTTTGTGCAAAATTAACAACTTTGTCACATTAATTCGGAAAAACATCTATTAATGCATACCTGAAATTGAAAAGTACTATTTTGAGGGTGGTTCAGTTTGACTGGCTCTGTCTAAAAGAGCTTGACATACTCTTCAGGTCTAAAAGGTACAGTGTTGTATAAGTTCCTGACAACCCATGAGGAACACAACAAGGACACACTCACATGTGCTGATGTCTTAAACCAACTCAGATGAACTCTCTCTCACTTTTATTTTAGCTCAAATTATCTCCTGCATCTTGTTTTCTGTCTCAGTTCCCATCATGGAAAGAAAGCAATCATGTGAACCAGTTGTTGATCAGGGAGAAAAGCCAACGTGAGGGGTGGCAGTCACCGGGGTCGTCAGGCTTTTGTGCAGAAATTCATTTTTTCGTACTTCAAAAACTGTCTCCTGCATCTGGACGCTGATGACCCTCTACTACCGTACCTCATATTAACTTACAGCATGCATGCATATATATATATATATATATATATATATATATATATATATATATATAATATATATATATATATATATATATATATATATATATATATATATATATATACTATATGTATATATATATATATATCCCACCGAGGCAGGGTGGCCCAAAAAGAAAAACAAAAGTTTCTTTTTTAAATTTAGTAATTTATACAGGAGGAGGGGTTACTAGCCCCTTGCTCATATATATATATAATATATATATATATATATATATATATATATATATATATTATATATATATATATATATATATATATATATATATATATATATTAATATATATATATATATATATATATTTTCAACAAACCGGCCGTATCCCACCGAGGCAGGGTGGCCAAAAAGAAAAACGAAACTTTCTCATATATGTATATATATATATAATATATATATATATATATATATATATATATATATATATATATATATATATATACATTATATATATATATATATATATATATATATATACATTATATATATATATATATATATATATATATATATATATATATATAATATATATACATTATATATATATATATATATATACATTATATATATATATATATATATATATATATATATATATATATATTATATATATATATATATATATATACAGTGGACCCCCGCATACCGATTTTAATCCGTGCAAGAGGGCTCATTGGTATGCGAAATAATCGGTATGCGAATGAATTTTCCCCATAACAAATAATGGAAATCAAATTAATCCGTGCAAGACACCCAAAAGTATGAAAAAAAAAATTTTACCACGTGAAATATACATTTTCCTACACACAAAGAGAAGGATACATGCACAATAGTAGAGTAGTACATGCACAGTATATATTGTGCATGTACTAGTCTACTAAATGAAGAATAAATGACACTTACCTTTATTGAAGATACTGATGAGACACTGTGTCCTGGGAGTGCCTTTTCCTTCTGAGTACTGTAGGTCCTGTTTGGTATTTTCTTCCAGAACATGCCTTATCACACTGTGTATGTCACTACGATTCTTAAATCTCTCAAACCAACCTTTGCTGGCTTTAAATTCACCAATATGAGCACTAGTTCCAGGCATTTTTCCCTGTTCACCTGGGTGTTAGTCGACTGGTGTGGGTTGCATCCTGGGAGACAAGATTAAGGACCCAAATGGAAATAAGTTAGACAGTCTTCGATGACACTGACTTTTTTGGGTTATCCTGGGTGGCAAATCCTCTGGGGTTAATTGTTTCTTGGTATATTCTCAATAAGCCACACCAACAACAGTGCTACAGCAGCAGCAGACGATGCTACAGCAGCAGCAGACGATGCTACAGCAGCAGCAGCAGCAGACGATGCTACAGCAGCAGCAGACGATGCTACAGCAGCAGCAGATGATGCTACAGCAGCAGCAGACGATGCTACAGCAGCAGCAGACGATGCTACAGCAGCAGCAGCAGCTGACAGTGCAGCAGCAGCAGCTGTACCACCAATAGTAGCGATGGTTGATTGGGGTTTATTATACAACCTGGCCAGCTCGGAGACATGCACTCCACTTTCATACTTATCAATGATCTTTTTCTTCATCTCTATAGTAATTCTCACCCTTATTGCTGTAGGGTTGGCACTAGAAGCTTTCTTGGGGCCCATGGTCACTTATTTTCCAGATAAAATCACCAAAAACACTGTAATAATACGAAATGTTACGATTGTATGCTTGGATGCTACCGCGGAGGCTGGCTGGTAAACAATGCCACCGGCGGAACATGTGAGGCTGGCTAAGGTGCACATTGGACGCGTCTCGGACGAACAGCGGTGAGCGGGTTTTTAAGCGGTATGCGAGGCAAAATTTTTGCGATTAAAGCAAGCGGTATGCGGATTAATCGTTATGTGATGCCAACGGTATGCGGGGGTCCACTGTATATATATATATATAATATATATATATATATATATATATATATATATATATATATATATATATATATATATATATATATATATATGTATATATGCAATAAGATCACAGTAAACAGGTGATTTCAGAATATGCAAAACAACCACTCTGAAAGAATAGAGAAATTCCAAGCGCTTTCGTGACTACTCACATTATATATATATATATACGGTGGTCCCTCGTTTTTCGTAATTAATCCATTCCTGGAGGAGCTACTATAAACGAAATTTACGATTTGCGAATCAATTTTCCCCATAAGAAATAATGTAAATACAATTAATCCGTACCTGACACCCAGAAGTATTAAAACAAAAAAATTTTTACATGAAATATACATGTAGTACATAAACAATACAATGGGAAATGATGAATGAAACATTATCAGCATAATGCTTACCTTTATTGGAGATTCTTCTTAGTGTATGGGAGACTGCAGGAGGAGAGAGATTGAATTGTTTACAGTTTGGAAGGGGAATCCCCTTCCAGCAACACCTCAGGTACTAATTGCTTTTCTGGGGTTACTTCTCTTCTCTGTTTCTTAATGCCACTAGGACCACCTTGAGAGTCACTCTAGTCCTGTCTCGCAAAATAACTGTGGAGAGAGCTCTGTTTCTGGCGTCTCTTTAACACTTCCCTAAAATGGCCCAAGACTTTGTCACTGTACATATTTCTCACCTTCTTTACCACAGGCTTGGCACTAGGAGCTTTCTTTGGAGCCATGGTAGCTTATTTAGTACTTGCAAGCACTAAAATGAGTGGAATATTATGAAATATTTCGTAGGAGCACTTGAGGGGACCTTCACTCACTGGTAAACAATGCCAGACTGGTTGGGTAGGGAGGCCTCCCCGGCTCACACTGTGCTTACACGTCCCGGACAAACTACTATTCGCGAGTCAACCTATGAAAAGCGAGTCCATGTTTATACGAAAATACCCCTATGATTGGCGAAATTTACGATTGCCGAGAACTACGAAAAGCGAGGGACCACTGTATATATATATATATATATATATTATATATATATATATAATATATATATATATATATATATATATATATATATATATATATATATATATAATATATATATATATATATATATATATGTAATATATATATGTATATATGTATATATATATATATATATATATATATATATATATATATATATATATTTTTATTTTTTTATTATCACACCGGCCGATTCCCACCAAGGCAGGGTGGCCCGAAAAAGAAAAACTTTCACATCAATCACTCCATCACTGTCTTGCCAGAAGGGTGCTTTACACTACAGTTTTTAAACTGCAACATTAACACCCCCTCCTTCAGAGTGCAGGCACTGTACTTCCCATCTCCAGGACTCAAGTCCGGCCTGCCGGTTTCCCTGAATCCCTTCATAAATGTTACTTTGCTCACACTCCAACAGCACGTCAAGTATTAAAAACCATTTGTCTCCATTCACTCCTATCAAAACACGCTCACGCATGCCTGCTGGAAGTCCAAGCCCTCGCACACAAAACCTCCTTTACCCCCTCCCTCCAACCCTTCCTAGGCCGACCCCTACCCCGCCTTCCTTCCACTACAGACTGATACACTCTTGAAGTCATTCTGTTTCGCTCCATTCTCTCTACATGTCCGAAACCACCTCAACAACCCTTCCTCAGCCCTCTGGACAACAGTTTTGGTAATCCCGCACCTCCTCCTAACTTCCAAACTACGAATTCTCTGCATTATATTCACACCACACATTGCCCTCAGACATGACATCTCCACTGCCTCCAGCCTTCTCCTCGCTGCAAACATTCATCACCCACGCTTCACACCCATATAAGAGCGTTGGTAAACTATACTCTCATACATTCCCCTCTTTGCCTCCAAGACAAAGTTCTATTGTCTCCACAGACTCCTAAGTGCACCACTCACTCTTTTTCCCTCATCAATTCTATGATTCACCTCATCTTTCATAGACCCATCCGCTGACACGTCCACTCCCAAATATCTGAATACAGTTCACCTCCTCCATACTCTCTCCCTCCAATCTGATATTCAATCTTTCATCCACCTAATCTTTTTGTTATCCTCATAACCTTACTCTTTCCTGTATTCACCTTTAATTTCTTCTTTTGCACCACCCTACCAAATTCATCCACCAATCTCTGCAACTTCTCTTCAGAATTCCCAAGAGCACAGTGTCATCAGCAAA